ATGGAGTGTAGGATCCAGTTGTGGGCTCCTCAATGCAAGACCAACATGGAACTACAGGAGTGAGTCCAGCGAAGGGCCACAAAGTGATTACGGGACTCGAGCATCTTCTGCATGAAGAAAGACTGAGAGAGGTGAGAATATTCAGCCTGGAGAAGAGCAGGATCAGGGGGGATCTTGTCAATGTTTACAGATATCTGATGGTTGGGAATGAAGAAGAGAGAGATGGACTCTTTTCAGTTATATGAACAGGAGAAGAGGCAATGGATGCAGATTTAAATAAAAAACCCAAAACAAAACACAAAACCAGGAAATTTCATTAACATAAGAAAACACTTTTTTTACTGTGAAGGCAGTCAAACACTGGAACAGGCTGATTAGAGGAGTTGTGTAATCTCCATTCTTGGAGATATTCAGAAACTCAACTGGGTTTCCCCAAAACCTGGAGAAATCAAACGGTCCAGGGCAACCTGTTCTATCTGACCTGGCTTAAACACTAGATGATTTCCAGAGATGCCCTCCAACCTAAACTATTCTGTGATTTAGTTAGTAGTTACTGGTAACAATCTCCTGGACAGAGCTGGCAGTGCACGTTTGCTCACTCAGGGTGGGTCTCCTAGCAAATGTCTGAGGACATGAATAGGAAAGTGGATTTATGTCCAGAACAATGCTACCAAGCGCTCAGCCTGTCAGGCCTGCAGCACTTTTAGCCTCTTATGCTCAGTGCTGCTTGATAGCAACCCCAAAGCAGCCATTTATAGATGGTGCCACTCCAGGATGCTGAGGAAATAACATCTGTTTAGATTAAGCTTCAGCCACCATAGAGCCCAAGAACACCCTTCTTCACAGTTCACTCCATGGCTTGAGATACATTTGCAGAAACTTGTTTAGACAAAGAATGCAGCGCTGACTGATATTTCCTTTACACTACCTACTGGCACTCTGTAAGTGGCACCATAAAATAGCAAGATGGATGTTACAGTGAAGATGGAAGAGTTATAGGAATTAGGCTTAAAAATAATTAAACTGTGATTTCAGTGCTTTCCATGGAAGATTACCTGTACAGCAAGAAAAAGAATTGATCTCCAGACACATGCAGATTAACATCTGAGCAATGCTTTGTGGTATCTCTGCTCAAAATTCTGAATGCTAATTTGAAATACAGCATTCTACAGGTACAGTTATAAAGGGAAGTGGCTTAATGAGGAATAACAAGGTTGAATTGATGGACTGTTTTAGTCTGTACCGGATGAACACACAGAGAACTTTCAAGAGTTGCCATGCTGCAGGTGGCTTGTTTCGATTTAAAGTTAATTCCAGGTAATAAGATCCCAAAGAGTGTGACTTTTTCCTCAAGCAAAACTACCCCAGGGTGTCATTGATGCTTTGAGGGGGAAAAAAAAAAGCTATAAAAATGAGTAAAATGAGTACAATGCAAGCATCCTTGAATTCAACCATACAATATTTTAAATCAGTGTTTTCCCTTGCAGCTGGCTGTCAAATAAACTTTACTCCAATATTCAACACAGCGGCTGCATGTCATTCATAACTCAGGTCATTGCAGTAGAAAAAGAAAAGAGTGTGTTTTCACCCACAAGTCTTTGGAAGATTTAAGAGGAAAGATGTTTAATGTACTGAAAATAGCAACTATTTATAGGCTTCATCTGCATAGATGTACATGTTCACATTATATCCACCAAGCTGGAAGCATCTTAGTATAGCCCAATTAAAGATGTGCAATTTTGTTAAGCCAGAACAGAAATTTGTATACAAGTCAAACATGCTACCCTGAAGTGTGAAAGTCACCAAACTGTCTTCCCACAAACAACTCTGTATTGCATTATGTGGGTATGACAGACCTCTGAGATGGCCACAACTTTGTGGTGGATCTGCCTAAGCTTTTCTCATTACAAGTCCTCCAAAGTAAAGGCTTTTTAACTCAGAAGACAAGTCTTATTAGAATATGAAATGAGGGAAAACAATTAAATTGGGAAAAAAAAAAAAACATGGAATCCATCAATTCTAAAGGCAATGGAAATAAATAAAATTTATAACCATCTTGCTTGCACACTGGAGCAAGAGAGCTCCTTTCTTTTAGGTTTGTATTTTGTCCACTCAGCAGCTGGGTGGGAGAAAAATCTGCCTTGGCCTCCAGTTCCCAGAAAGGGTCCTCAGTGCTGAGGCTGTCATTCTCCCTGTTACCACGTTTTGTGGGTTACAGCTTTTCCTCTCCTGGGCATACTCAACATGGGAGTTCACCTGACCCCTTCCTTCTCTTACTCAGAGGAGTATGACCAACAAACATGCTACCACTGCACACCCAGCCTCCCCCAGGGAAGATAACAGAGGTCCATCCTCTTCCTTAATCCACAACTTTGCCACCACCACAAACTGTGAAGTCCCAGAATTATACCCAAAATCTCACTGAACCCATGGCAGATGCAGGGGTCTAAAAGAAACCCGGGCCTCACACAAAATGTGACTATTGACCACCTTTCAGCTTTGAAATTTACTCTTTGAGATAACTGTATTAGCTACCAAACAAAGGCAATATAGAACATAGTTGTATTAATAAACATTTAGGATGTGAATAAGAGCATAACCTTATTTGTATGACTGAACTACTTCCATTTGAAAACTTAATTTAGACAACAGAATTTTTCCAAGGTGAAGTGTATCATCTCCTGCAGCTTCCTAAGTTTTCTTTCACAGAAAACAGTTCAGGCCTCAACTTCTGTAGCATGTGAAATCTTTTTGCTTTATAAACAGTGGTAGAAAAACAACCAGTCAGAAAACAAAAGCAGAAAAATCAGTGTTCTCATCAAGTATTTATTAGTAATACCTTTCTGAAAAAAATTGATCCTAGTGGCTACCATTAGTACAAAAAGCCCAGTACTTAAAAATATGGACTAGTTAATCCTTAGTCATATGCTTTTTACAAATATTTTAATGTAAATTAAGATTTCTGTTGAAATAACCTAGTCACATTGATCATAACAATCTAGGTACATCCTTACAAAGACCTGGAACACCAAACATGTCTGTTCAGTTTCCCTAGATGTGGTGGTTTGAGCCTACTCAGCAGCTAAACGCCACGTAGTCGCTCACCCACCCTCCCCCCCACTTGGGAATGGGGAGGGAATCGGAGGGGCAAAGGGAGACTCATGGGCTGAGATAAAAACAGTTTAATAACGGTAACAGAACAATACGGTGACAGCATTATCAGCAGGTAATGTGCAATACAGCTGCTCACCACCCACCGACCCACACCCACCTGCTCCCAGCCAGTGATCCCAAACACAAAGGCACCACAGCCACACTCCCAGAAGTGAGAGCCCATGCTGGCCCACTCCTGCCTTTATATAGTGAGCATAATGTCACATGACATGGACTATCGGCCAATCCGGGCCCAGCCCTCCAGCTGTGCTCCCCCCGCCCCCGCACACAGGTGAGGGCTCTGGGACCTGGGGAGCCCCTGGGGTCTCAGTGTGCTGCAGCACTCCTCCCGCTGCCAAACCAACAGGAACTCTATGCCAGCCCCAACCAGGACACCAGATTTCACAGAAAGTGTATTTCAGGCATCTAAATCCAAATACTTGCTTTAGGAACTGAAACATCAGGAATCCCTTTGTTATTAAATCAAGAAATTACTGGTTGTTTGCCCAGGGTAGAAATTTAACCTGAACATTATAGCTGAAGTTTGAAATAATATGCTTTATTAGGCTGAAAATTAGAGTTTAAAACTAAGATGTATTAGTTTTGAGAGACATTAGAAGTTAAAGAAGTTAGAGAATTAAAAATTTTACTAGATATTGCAAGGAGAAAATTTGGTTGCATTTGGTTGCTTTATAAAATTATGCTTTTTAGCTAAAAATTTAAATATTATTTGGGAATCAACTTTTCTGTTCCTCAACCTCTAACAGTATTTAAAAAAAAATACGTATTCAACATAAAGAACAGATGAATATAAAGGAGAATCTTAGCATACTGTAACTAAAGCAGCATCTGAACTGTAAATGTACTTATTTTCAGTTCTGTATATCTACATCATCCTGTGTCAGTTAGCAATACTGATTATTAGTAGGCTGTTCCTGCAAAGTCCAAATATGTTATCTGCCCAAACCTTCCTTTGAAATTTATGTTATAATATTTTCTGTTCTACAGAGCACTTTTATTTCAAAGAAATCTCCCTCCACACTTTTCTGTGTTACACACACCTCAGTTGCTTAGCTTGAACACATATTAAATTTGTCAGTTTTCCAAAGGTGGTGATAAAAAGGTGATTCACATGTATAAGAGTCAAGCAGAGATGGAAATATTTTTAATGCAGCTTCTAGAACTTTCTTTGTCTGATGACTCCCTACGTAGTTTTCATTATCTCCTTCATGAAACGTTAACCTCCCTTTCCAAGATGAAACAGAAAGTAATAAAAATTCTCTTACTTCAGAAGAATAAATCCAGTGCAAGGCCAACTACTTTCTTAGAGACCAAATGCTACTTGCTTTAAATGGGAGCTTTATATCAGCATTTTATTGCATCTGCAACTTTATACTATGTCTCTCAGGATAACAGTTGAGCCCTTAGTGCAGGGCTTGTTGTGACCTACATGTTTTCAATCCTTCCAAGCCACCAGCTTTGTTCACACTAGACAAAGGAAACCTTTTTCCAATCACAGGGTGCCCTTGACAAGCACTTATAACCTTTTTAAAAAAAATTTTGTATTCTGCTCATACAAAAGAAATAAGAACATGGCCAATTCAATTAGTTTTCAATTCCTGCCATAATGGCCATAGGTTATAGTTTGATAATCTTTACTTTTAGAAGGATTTAGGTGAGGATTTTAACATACTTCCAGAAATTAGGGTGTTCTACATTACTGAAATTCTGTGGGAGGATGAAACAAAAGCAGTCTCCCTCTCAGTGTCCCCTCTGCATGAACGTTGAGCAACTGTGCAAGAATACATGACGCATATTAGTGACATGGAAATAGTGTTCCCGCTTACTTGTCTTGGAGCCGGGTGCTGCGAGATGGGATCAGTTCTATTCACAAGGGCAGGCCAGGTTAAGTTCTGGTTAACATTGTTCTGTGGTCATTTCCATATGTGGTAGGCTTCAGAGAACAGAAAGCACATCTAAACGTGCTACCTAACATGAAAAGAAAGAATTAGGTAAACATTATGGACTTGCTGATCATTAGCCAGTGATAAAGACAAGGGAGAAGCAGTATGTTCTTAACACATAGATATTACCTTTTGTACTTGTTTCATTATAATAATGAAATGATATATTTTTTTTTAATTTATGCCTTCTTTTTCAGTCATAAATATGACACCATTGATCCTAACATTCCTTCACAATCCCTCTCTCACATTACTTCCATCACTGAACTTCATCTGTTTTGACTTTTTCTTTTCCTAATATGAAAACATTGTAGAGTTTTGCTGCTTTTTATGACAGAGGGTATATATGTGTTACCTGTGTGAATATTATTAGTACGCACTTCCTCTATTGCAAGGTTTCCCCATTTGCCTTGTTGGGTCTATTATGCCATGAGTTCTACTGAAAACTTCAGAGGGAGGAGGAAATTGTACATCGAGCTGAGAGAGAACGGAGTGGCACAGGCAGAGAAGCTGCGGCAGGAATGAAGACTGGGACACTTTTGAAACAGTTGCAAGCACACCAAAAGCAAAAATTCACATCTTCTTCTATTTCAAACAAAGTGCCATCTCCATCTCTCTGTCAGGTGGACTATCCTTTCCTCTTTGACAAATTCTCTGGGCTTGGGTTTCTTTGTTTTTCCCTCATGCCCATACCTCCCATCTCCGAAAAGTCCCACAAACATTGCTGCACATTGTGAAAGATTTGTCCCTCCTTCATGTCAAATTGGTCAGCACCACTTAAGCCTTGCTGTCACTTTTATTCTCTATCCTATTGAAGCTATGGATATAGCCTTTGTTTTGCAGAGAAAAAACAATGAAAACTCCCCAAATTTCCAGCTTATGTCTTGTTTATAAAAAGTGAAGTTTCTGGAAAATACTTAGAGAGATCAATATTTTATTTTTTTTTTCCCCAACTACTGAAATGGATATTGTACTGAAATGGATTTGTAATCTCTGATGTCCCAGATTTTCACTCCAACTTTGGCAGGTTGCTTTCTGCTGTAAGGCAGAGGTAAGATTGAAACCTGCAATAGTAATCAGCTGTTTATGAAGAGAAGAAGCATAAAGGAAACTGAGGCAATAAGAACTGGGTTCAATTAATCTTAGTTGGTCAGCTAGTCCATTCTAGGGCAGCAGCATGTCTGGCAGACTTTTGTGTAAACTGCTGTTAGAGACCTTGAGTGACAGGACCTCTGCAGCCTTTCAGGGGAATGGGTCCCTGTGCTTCACCTTTAGAGGAACCCACTCAGCCCAGTGCCTAACCCACTTGCCTCGATGTGGACAATGCCCTTTGCTTCTTGCCTGATCCAAAGTGAATGGAAAGGAGGCTGGTCTTTACCTCTTTGCAGCAGCCTTTCTGTATTTTATACTTCTTTCAGTCATCTCCTGTTTTAGTCAGAAATACCCCAGACTGAACAATGAAAGGTGCTAACTGATGCTAGGCAGAATTAAAAGTTGACTTTACATTCCTTGGGGCTCTATTCACGTGCGAAAAAAGAAACAAAACCAAGCCAAAACACTTTCTTCTAACTGTTTTCCTTTCCTTGAACACATAGTTGTATAAATATTCATGATTATACATTTTATATTATATTTATAATAGTAATTTTCAAAGATGTTTATTATATTAATACTTGAAAGATGGTTTCAAGTTTGTCTCTTAAAGAGAACTAAACTTGCATGTTTTGCCTTACCATCATAAAAGTGAGGTTGTTTACAGGTAAGTAGCATAATCAGGCGTGGAAGTCAATACACTAAGATCCATTGAAACTCAGGTTTTTTTCTCAGAAATATTGATCTACTACATTATTTAGATTTATTTGCCTAAAATAAACTAAAAGAATCAAAGTATAAGAGGGAACTGAGTCAAGGATTGATTTAAGTTATTTGGAGAAAGGACCATCCCTTGTAACATTTGCAAAAAGTCTCTAGCATGAAAGAAATCCTTCTTCAGATCTTACAGCAACAAAAATAAAAATCTACCACCAGGAAAGTGTTGTATTACTCCTTTGAAAGTTGGAGATTGCTTGAAATCATTCATCCTCCTGAGGAACCTAAATCCCAGAGGCTGTTGAGAAAGTAGTTTGTAAATCCTATGAAGTTTGGTACTTTCAACTTCAGACAAGAGGTTTCATTCTAAGAAATATAGTTCTGCAAATCCTTTTGGTATCTATATTTGCTGTTGTTTATTTCTTTCCTCTGACTAGAAATAGCATTCCAATGTCTGCTGTGGAATTGCAGGTTGGACTGCTTGAGACACAAAGATCAGCATGTATCACATCTGGATTAATGTGGCACTGTTTGTAGAGAAAATTGGAGCTAAGTACCTACTGGATCACAGCATAATGATTTCAGGCAGCTGAGCTTTAGCTAGAGCAACAAGGTAGATGTGTTTTTATAGTCTGCTCTGGAGCCTGCATCCCATGAGATTCCAAGTGCTTTCAAGACTCTGAAAAGTCAACAGAAATTCAAAGCATTTTGTAACTGATGTGATGTATTGAGAACATCACAGAGAAAAGCCCAGGAAGAAACATCCATAAATAAGGTCATAATTTGTAAAGAAGGAGAGAAATACAGTTCAATTAATATAGGCATCACAGAGGCTAATGATGCACCCTAATTATCTTCTCTGACAAAATCTTACATGTCTGATTAGAATCAGGATGAAAGAACTTAAACCTGTTTTACTAAAAAATAGTTAGTTGTTAGTATAATGACATGAGTGTGTACAAATAAAAGAAATAATAAAAAAAAAAAAAAAACAAGGCCAGAATTAATATGCTGTATATGCTCTAGGTACAGTTCAGGATTACAAGGAGTCAGATTTTCTGTGGGGACAGAGTCATTCTACACACTTTGTGGGGTATGTAGAAGGTAAAACACAACCCAAACCCGTGTTTGTTTGGCTTCTGAGTTCAGATTACCAACTTTCCAAAACTCATAGAATAGGATTAGCACTAAACTCAATTCTCATTAACATTTCTATGTGCAATCAATTCCCAACTATATTTTTTTCACTAAGATAATCAATTTTATTAGCTGTCACGTTAGAGAGACAGATGCCATAATTTGTTTAGTTGTAGAGTTTGCAAAAAAAAAAAAAGAAGTTATGAAGAGACTTGACTACTCTGAACCTAGCTTTCTTCATGGGCAGTGGCAATCACCTTGAACTCACTTAAATAAGAAGTAGGATCTTCATTTTAGATTAGCCAGTAACTTGTTAATGAGGCCATTTAAATACACAACATTGTGATTAGAGGTCCTGGTGGTATCAGACAGGGTCAAGATTTACATGGAGGTATCTAAAATCTGACTGATGTTTTAACACAATGTCATTAGCTGTGATCAGTGAATTGTCTACCTACCATGTGCTACCCATCATCCTACTCTTGATCACCACCTTTCTTTGGTGCTTCTCTCCCTGGCTCCTAGGAGAACTGTTGAAGATGCCATCAGTTTGATGAACAGTAGACATTTAACTCATTGCCTATGAAGAGTATGAGCACTTGGAATAGGGACTACATGTTCTGAGCTAAACAGAAAGAGCCTATATTGCACAAAGTAAATTAGAACAAACTTTAGACAGAAGATGCAATCATGAGACAGCAGAGGAGTCAAGACATCACATTTGTTAAAGTAATTCCTGCAAAGAACTGGAATCTTTTTGAAGTGTCATCAGTTTTCACAGGTTTAGTGCAACCCCACCTTCCCACTCTGGCCATAACTTTACACTGAAATGACAATGAAACAGGAAAAACACTTAAAAAAATTAAGTTTTAAATAAAACTAAGAATTCTTCACTTCATTCTAAGCTTTTAAGAATTTACTGCTTTCCCTACTCTGTTTATTTTTACAGATGAACTGCCTCCTCTCCCTTAAATATCTGCACTCCATTTTTGCTTGAAAGCTAGCAGGGGAATTTTCTGATGGTGGCAAAAACAAGACCAAGGAGACACAGGTTTTCTCTATCCTCTTATAATCTCTCCATACCTCTCTGCTTCATGAAGAGCATGTGTTCCAGAGACCCCTAAGTTCTGCAAATAAGGACTTTTACACAAGCAACTCTACAGCTGCTGAGACACATACTTGTGCCATTTCCCCTCATTTCTTCAGTGTCCAGAACAAGAGTGGTGTCAGTCCTTCAGTGATCTTTGCATAACAGCTCTGCATTCCCCATACCTCTGGTCCTATAGCTGTGAGAGTGTGAAGTGCCCTAAGAAGGGCAAGACAGAAGAGTTGTGTAGGCATTTCTGGCAAACTTTGAAAGAGAAACCATGCCTCAGTAAGTTACACAGACTATCCTGTTAACCAGTAACACCTTAGTACCATGGTATACATACTAGATGATACTGCTAATATGTAACTTTTATGCATACATATACAAAAATATATACAGGCTGAAACACAGTCCCATCATGAATTCATTTCCTTGCATTTAAAGAGACAGTATTAATATACAGTGGTCAGGAGAGGAAAATAAAGAAGAGAGCTTGAAACTGGAGAAGGAGCAAAAGCATGAGAGAAGAGAAGAGAATAGAATGGTAGCAGAAAAAGGGCAGAAAAAAAGTGATGAAGGGGAAGAACATGGGGGAGAAAGGTGAAGGGGGACATAAAAGCTATCAAGGAAAAATGATGAAATAAGATACCCAGATGATCACAAGACTACAGAGATGAAAACAAAACACAAACAAACAAGTCTTATCCATATGTGAAAGAACAGCCAAAGCTTGATTCAGAGAGCAAATTCAGAGAGAGTACAGTCCACAAGAAACTCCTGAACACCACTGAAGGTGGGATGTGCTACCTAGTAAGGATAGGTAATCCATAATCTGCCATGTGTTTTTATTTCTCAAAAAAAAAAAAAAAAAAAAAAGTCATAAAACATCCCAGAAAATGTTTCTTCTGAGATGCAACACCCTGAATAACACAGAACCAAAAACATTCAAAAAAGGTGACACTTGAAAATAAAACCTCCCATGGGTGGGT